TTGCTTGATCCTTTGAAAATTTGTATAGCTACATTTATTGTTTCAAATAACATAATAATTTACATATATATATATCAATATTTGTTCAAAAAAAATATATGTAATCTCTCTTAAATCAATTACAAAGTATAAAATCATTTATATGTATTTTTTACTTATTAAATATTTTTTTGAATTGGCTATAAAAGTTACCTATTAATTTATTTTAATTTTGTCAAATAACACCTAAAGCTCACAATACTTCTTTATTGCTCTTGAAAGTACAAAATATTTAAAAGAATCTCTTTTTTATCTCTTCATAGAACACTATTGGATTTTGGACCTCAAAATTATATATCTAATCAAGAGTCATGCCTTCTATAATCATAACAAAGATATATTTAAATTATATTGGACTAATAATTTCATTTATTTTGGCAATATTTTTGAAATGTTATCTGTATTGGTCCAAATTATTACTTGTATAAAAAATGAAATATTAGACCAATCTTTGTAACTTATTAAATAGTGTTTATGATTCTATTATAATTGGTGTAATAACCACGAATATTATGAGTGACATCATTAGCACCTAATTTTTTTTATTATACTCAATTGTACTAAAGATTATGATATTACATCTATAGAGGTCATTTTTGGCAAGATAGTACTTTGAAACTAAACTTTATTGCAAGGTCATGTATCTTTACATCTATTTTTGTATACCTAATGTTTACAACTAAAACTTTGTACTTCATTTATTTTGGGATTTCCATAGTAAATTCTTCTTTTTCTTTTGAGTTTTTTCTAATATTTTCATAACGACAAGAAGTAGTTTTTTTATTACCTTTTATTTTATTTTATTGTGGTGTCATATTTTTGAACTATGTCATTTGGTATTGGCAATTTGTTCAACCTTACTTTTAAGTAGATAGCCCTATCCAACATTCATAGGATCCTCTATGGAAATTCATATTACCATCCCTAGTATAGTCATTGAAAAATTTGCTCTCAATTTGTGATGGTAAAAAACGTATTAGTGGATAATAGAAATCATCACAATGGCTTTTTAATATGTTTGAGAAGCCATATATTGTCTTCAAAGTAATATGAGATTTTTTATAAAGACATGATGGCACCATGTTTACACCAATCTCAATAAAATCAATGACTTATATTTCTTAAGATTCTTGATGTGACCACAATACTAACATATTTAAATAGTAATATATTGTTTAGTTAGTATATAAGCATATAATATTACTAAAAGCATATAATTAATATATCTCAAAGATTTAAAAAAATCATTGGCTTGAGCTTTCTATTTATATAAAAAATATATATAAATAAATAAATGATATTTGTTATTTTTTTATTATTTGTTTTTATATTTTATTTATTTATTTATTTATTTATTTTTGTAACTCATAAAAGTTCATTGCTTATATTAATAGGTAATAGAAGATTTTAAGTAAAAAGAATTAAAATTAAAATTAAAAAATGATAATTTCTCGACTAATATGTGATAGTAATGTCCACATATAATAGAAATATTTCTATCAGATTTGTGATTAATTTGAAGTCTTTATTTGTCATTCCATATTTTGACTTTTTAACATAAAGCATGAATTGTGGTTTAACATCTGTTATTTAGAAACATATTATGCCTCATTCAACTCACAAAAAAATTATTTTAAAACTCATTCTTAAATCAAATTGTACTACAAATATTTATCTTAAAACCATCATATACCAATTTTTATTATTAGAGATTTGGTTCCCATTGTACTTGAATGTCATGAAAAAAGATGAATTTGAATCAATAAAATTAATTATATTATAAAGTTGTGTTTGGAATAATATGTAATATTAACAATTACTCCATAACAACTTTTTTTTTTTTGAAACAATTGTGCAATATAGAAATAGTAATTTTTCATTGTATATCTGAATGATACATTCTTTTGTAAAACTAAAGGCAACTCCACAAAATAATAGTTACATTAAAAAAACACAAGAGTGTAATCCTATGTTATCATCACATATCCAAGAGGAAAAAAATGAATTCAAAAAAGATAAAATCATAAATCTCCCTTTGATGCAACAGCACTAAAAATAAAACTAATTAGTAATAAATATAATGTACTCATTATTTATTGATTTCCATTTTTTTTGAGAATATATATATATATATATATATATATATATATCTAGATATATAGATATAAGCTTGATGTGTGATTTTTTTTTAATATATCATGTTCAATAATCACATTTACTTTAATTTACTTTTGAAGTAAGAATAATATATTGCAAGAATTTATTTTATTTTATTCTAATAAATGTAGCATGTATTAAATTCTCCACAATCAATGAATTACAATTTTTTGTATCACTCACTCAAATTTAGCAATAAAAAGCCTCTGCTACACTCACAATTCGAGTTTCATCACACAAACAATACAAGTACTGCTTTTGTTAAACAAGATTATTTTTCCTTAATTAGCCATAAAGGAGCATGTTCTAATTAAGGAAATTTTCACTTGTTTACAAAAATGTGTTTAAATTAGAACGAGGTGCGAAAGCAAAGAAAGTTTGCTCGTAGCTTTGTTAAAACCGAGGTCGTATTTGACGACACCAGTGCCAGAAGCAACAAGACCTGGTCGCCTCTAACAATTTGGCATCTGAAACGCTCACGTTAGGCCCATATGCTCGTGCACTGCTCAACTTCCCCACTTCCCAAATTCCCAAGCTGGCATTCAGAAATCCTACGTGGCAGGATTGTCTTTTCATTTGGGTGGATTCTGCTTGAACCACCCATAATTCGACACCTGGAAGGGTCCAGAAGAGGAAACGACCCACCATGTCCATTCTTGGGTGCTGTAACTGTAGGGCACGGATCCCCGCTCAGCTCGACTATCTTTTTCTTTTCCTTTTGCTTTTCTTTTATAGATGCAGGATAGTGATCCATTAGAGAGAAAGGAAAAAAGGCAGCATCTGTGGTCTCAAAATCCCTTTAAGGTGTACTAGGAGCCGAATTAGGGTTACAAACTCTCCCGTGGGATAAGCTTCTCAGAGAGAGAACTGCCTCTTCCAAGGAGCTGTTTAATGAAGAGTCTAATATTGGGAGGCTTTCTGCCACGTGGCGGAGGTGAACAATAGACTGTGATATATATATACGAACAGGTCAGCCACATCACATTTTTAGAGCCTCGTCAATCTGCATGTTGGACAATAGTCCTCTATATTTAGAAGAGAACGTCCTCAGCTCTGTTGATGTCTCAGCTGACACAAGACTTCTTAGTAAACTAAACAATAAACTAATAATAGTAACCTGAAAGGGACATGGGCTTGTTCTCTCCCGCATTCAATTTAGCAACTTTTATACCTGCCACTATGATTCTCAAGGATGGCAAGGTTCAGATACTCGAAAAGTTCCCAAAGCGGCGCATTCCCCTAGAATCATGATGGGGATTCCTAGCTGTGGCCTTGAGTTCCCCATGTGTGAGAACTTTATCTCTTTCCAAAACCTGGAGCAAATTGACCTCAAAGTCTGCGCCCTAAAAAGTTCTGTCAGCTTTGCATCCCCCACCGTCCATTGCTGTGATTGCAGGCCAATGAGTGAAATCATCCATCTAGTTGGCCATTGTGTTTTTCAGGGTTATGGCTGCGTTCATCTGCCCACAGTTGCCACGCGGATTCGCAGCCGCAGCTGCCACTTGACCGAAGGATTAAGTGTGAACTGGCATGGCATGCCATGGCATGGCCGCCGACACCTACAAGTGTGAAAATGAGAATATGGCACGAATTTGCGACATATCAGCTTTCCATTCACCGACAGAGAGGAGATTGTATTTACCGGTTTGAACACCACCGCGATTCATCTACGAATGTGGTCATTCGTTCACATTCTTGTGGAATTGACTCGTTCTCTTCTTGTGTTCCCACAAAATGCATGTGGAAATTCTCATGCTATTATTGAGCAGCTCATCCTACTAAAGTAATTCATATCATCATACAAAGGTCGGGCTTTGGATGGCTTTTAGAATTGGTATTTATTCCCTACGGAAATGAAAATTAAGTGAATCACTAATTATTTTGGGTAACCCAGCTTTGTGTTAAAATACGAAAACGACAATAGAAACACTATTTCTGTACTAGGTTGTTCTCTATTTTTGAAATCTGTAAACAAAATTACTAATTACTTTAGAAGTCAAGCAGTTAGTATAAATTTTGGAAGCCTGAATAAATTAAGGTGTTCAAAAGGTAAAACATCATGTTAATGTGGATTAAGTGAATATATTAGAATTAACTGTTTATGATGTGTGTTGCACGTGTCATCCATTCCAACTATTTAAATGGTTGAATAAGTTGTTTGTAGTTCAAACTATGAAGGCACAGAAGAACAAGAACATTCCCAACTCTTCAAGACAAAGAGAACTTGATCTGCTCTGACCATGAACATACAAAGATGACTAGCTTGTGTAAAGAGGTTGGTTTATTTAAGCCCAGCTATGAAAATCATACCTTTGCTCAATGGATGACTGTTTGATGTTTAAAAAAGTAAAAATATAACAAAATAACATAGCGAGTTTGTGAATGTTTAAAACATCAGATTCTGGGAAAAGAAAAAGGAAATCGTAATATGAAACTTAAACATGGTTACATATGTAGATCCACTTTTAGAACTGTATAGACGAGGAAGACCAAGTGTACCCATTATCCATTTTTTATATCCTGTGTCGAAGAGGTCGGAACTTCGGGTGAAACATGAAATAGGGACTCCTTCCACAGAGTCGTCGACGGGGGTCGAAGACTGAACACATGACAAATGAAACCCTAGCAATCATTCAAAGTGCAATCCCACGTCCTAAAAGCACGCGACGTGAACGACTTGACCAGCTATGAAAATGAATGAAATTTGCGCCGTTACGAAGAAGTCATCCGTATAGGTGGTGAGCTTCAGCCAACATCTGTTGCGGGTCCGCCGGCTACAGCAACGAAGTCTGCGAGGGCTAACTTCCGTCCTGACGCTGAAGGGACGACATGCCGACGAAGTCTCAAGGAACTCCGAAGAAGTGCGCATCAAAGAATGCTGTTGCTCCGAAAATCAGCGGAGAGTAGAGGCGGAGTGGCAATTATGTCTCGGAGACTGGTCTCCATCGAAGCCATCATAATCGACGCTCGTTGTGGAATGATATTGTTACACGAAGCTCGCACTTGTTTCTTTTATGTTCCGTAAGTTGGCAGACGAGGCGCTAGCGTCTCTTTTTCTACTTTCTCGCCTTCCTCCCAATTTTTTGTCGCGTCATATCATACCTGTCACGTTCTCCGTTCTCAAACCTGCATCTCCTGCAACATTCCATGTCCTCATCAAGCCGAAGACGAGTACATTTCTGCTTTTTGGCTTCTGTACTAGCATGGGTAGGGAAGGTTGTTCCAGGGCATATTTGGAGGTGAAAGGGCGTTGAAGGGGATACGGCGTAAGGGGAGGGAGGATTGTGCTGGATCATGAACGTGATAAGGAGGCAGGTTTCACGTGACTAGGAAGATTTTAAGTGATTCTGAGGAGCTTCTGGTGGCAGATCTAGAGGTTGGAGTTTGGCAAAGCGTGTGGGAGAGCTGGGATTTTGCTGGGTTTGTTTGTTGCCAGTGAGCGATGATGTGGTGGATCGGTCACTGAGTGTGGCATCGAATGGTGGGTTATTAGTGGTTTGGGATTGTAGGAGAAGGAGATGCGTGGGCAGAAGTTGTGGGTTGGGGATTAGGTGATGCAGTGCGTGAGTTCTGTGTACTGGTGGTGAGTTTTGGGATTGAAGCGTCTGGATTACAAGCGACGGTTTAGAAGAGTGGTTTGGATGTTTGAGGAGCGTATGAGGTGGAGGTGGGTGCCAGTTGGCGCAGCGTTGGTGGAAAGAATTCGCAGTGCAATGGTATGAAGTGACTAGTTGTTTCTGTTGCAAGGATTGCGAATCCGGATCCATTTGTCACTTGATTTACAAGTTGGGGTACCAGGAGTGGCTTCCCGGGAGTTGCGGGCTAAATTGGTGCAACAGTGTCTTAGAGCTTCTTCCCCTGCGTCAAATTCTTCAGTAAGTCGATCGGTTTGATGTGGTATTTGAAAGGGCTAGTGTCCTGAGGAGTTTAAGGCAAGAAGTCGAACCGTATTATATTGGAACCTCCAGGCATTCTATTATCTGGAAAGGTCTAGGAAGACGAAAGACTTGGGGCATTGTTTAGTGGCACGTATTAGTGGCAGAGTACATCTAATCGTAGTAGTTTCTAAAGAGAAGTACACGATGAGGACTTCAACCATGACAGACTGTATCGAAAAGTGCAGTCCATCGTAATGGATGCATTCAGCTGTTTTTCTACGCCTATATTTTCTCGAGTCTGTCGAGTCACCATAAGTTGTCGACGTTGGAGACAACTTTCTTTTCCATTGGCTTACCAAATACTATGCAATGGCTGCCGAGTGAATCCAGATTAGGTACAAACAGCGCTGAGGAGGAGTATGCATTAAACCTATGGGAAATTGGCCATCTCCTGAATCATGATTCTTCTTTCACCTGCCTTGGGGTTCGTGCATTTTGGTGGGCTGCTCTTTGCCACTCGGATCTTCTCATCTGTTTGGATATTGACACGCCATATGTCACATCTTCATTAAGCTTGTTTCATGCATTTAATGGGCTTGAATCGAGGTTTCGAGGAAATCAGGAATGGGGGTGTTGTCCGATCAATTGAAGCTGGCGCTGCCTCCATGTTCGAATTGTCAGTTGCTGTAGACCTGCCAAACTGTCGAGGTGGGGTGGCGAGATAACAGGGTGCTCCGTTGATGACATGAGTACCTATGGGTGTATTCGCTCCAAGATGAAGTTATTTTTGGCAATTCATCAAGGCCTGTGAAGAAGTATGGGAGAGGAGTCTGTGTCGGACGATGAGTTTCACGAGTCTTTTGAGGACGTCCCTTCCACATTGAGCTCAGATAGTACGGGCGAAGGAAGTGATCGAGACGTACGAATGCATACTGCTGGAATTGCTCCTGCGACCGGCATTGACCGTCTACCTGTCTGGACGCCTTCCGCTTTCCAATCCAAGTTTTCTGTTTGGAAGGATGACCCTGGTACTATCAATGAGCGTAGGGAGCGGTTCTTTAAGAAGATGGGGTTAAAGTCCTCAAGAGACGACCCGACATATGCTCACATTCTTGATCTTTCGGGAGGATTCGCTTCGAGTGAGACAGGCTTCAAAAAACCCCGTAAATTGTGCGAAGAAGCTGTCACAGGAACCCGTGCAGATGGATACGTAAGCACTCAATTGGATCTATTTCAGTGTGGTACTAGCGTAGCTGCTTTGCTATTCACAGAGTGTGTTACAACCGAACTGTAGCACTTCTTGCATTTGAAATTGTACAGGGAGGTCATTTTACGAATCAGCTATTGTCGATGAGCAATAGTCTATATTACCTTGAATTAATCAATTTATGGGTTTTTGGTCACATGATTGTTGGAGTCCTGGTCGTTGCCTAATAAAGGAGTAACTAGTTGGAATCATTTCATTGACTGAGGGTAAGCAGAGGTTGTATTTAGGTTCACTATATGCCAGTTTATTACTTGTATAGGTTTCTTCCTGCCTTAGGTGACTCATACCGTCCTTGCCATTTATGGATGCAGGTGAAGCCAACGTGTGAAAACTGTGGGGGTGAGCGGAAGGGTGTTTCAACACAAAGATGTGCGCATTTGGAGAGTTTACGACCTGAGAAGTTGGGAACAGATGTAGAACAGGCTTTAAAGCCATTATTTACGGAGAACGGTTTCAAAGTTGATTCGGATAATGTTCGGGTGGAAGTTACAGGCTCACGTGCTATTCATGAAAGGAACCTTGCAGACACGTGTTGTATTGCAGGAGGAAATGGCGAACTAGGTTCCAAATCTTCAGATTCCAGGTTCTCCATATCTCCAGGCTACAAAACATGTGAATGTACCGATTCAGTTAGCAGCGATGGGACTCACAATTTGCATGAAAGTTGTGGGAATAAAACAGAAGTTGTTTCAAACCAGGGTAGCATTCATAATAGATTCGATAGCGACAGCTCGTACTTAGTAGAAGGTGTTCGTCGATTAGAATCAGGGCACCAGCATCAAGCGTCCAGTTCTCAGGAGAATCTGTTTCGGTCCTCCGATACGGACTCTGAATACGCACTTGGCAGCCCCGATGTCCACAATGGGATCGAGAGCATCATGGACGAGCGTTTCAAGATCCGTGACTTGGACAGTGGAAAACAATTTTTGATGAAAAAGTTTAATAGGGATGGGTCATTGAATATGCTCCGGGAGATGGACACTGGTAAGGACTTGACGTTTGCCGAGTTTGAGAGGACTCTAGGCCTAGTGTCCCCAGTTACACAAGAGCTCAAAATGCGACAACTAGCTTTGGATGGTCAGGTCAGTATTCGAAATTCTGAGCCAAAGACTGACGAAAAAGCTCCATCCACAACGAAAAGGAGGGGTTGGCTGAGAAAGTTGAAGGGTGCGGTGAAGAGAAAATCTAAGGATGGACTGGTCAAGGGTGAAAGTGCACGGAGTGTTGCAGTTTATGATAGTGTTGATGATATAGATGCATCTTCAGTGGTGGGTAGTATTTCCGGCGACGCGTCGCCGAAAGGGGACAGCTCATTTTCAGGTCTGAAAAGAAAGGAGTTCACTAAATGTGATTCGATGCCTGGTCTGCCCATAGATGACGTTGACGACTCTTTTTGGAGAAGTCCACAGAAGGTGAAAGTGCGATCGCGCCAGAAAAGTTCGAGAGACCTTTCAGATCTTCACTTGAGCCAAGAAATCTCAGCCCACCAAGGTGCAATATGGACGATGAAATTTAGTCCCGATGGGTGCTATCTTGCTAGCGCTGGTCAAGATCGGATTATTCATGTTTGGGAGGTTATTGATCACCCGTCAGTGACTGAGTCAGGTGAGTCTTCTGTACTCAACCTGCCACAGGGATCCTGATGTCACATGTTTTGATTTTACAAAATAGAAAAACTGTCACTGAGGAGGAAGGTGTTTGTAATCGGTCGTGTTAACAATATTTGGCTAAGGTTTGACGTATGCTTGGTTGTAGAGTGGTTACTTTTAGAATTAGGACACTTTCAGATGATGATAATTGCTATGAAAATGTTGGTTTCAGAACTTTATGGTGGCCTTCATAAGGTTGACATCGAGCTGAGACAGAGAGAAAGTAGTGTCAAAGGTGATAATGATGGAAGCATCAAGGCGGGGCAAGATAGAATTATGAGCAAAATCGACAAAGAAGGAAGTATCAAGAGTGGAAGAGGGACTCTTCGAAAACTAAAGTCTAGCAACCAAAGCAAGGGTCCAGTTCCGAAGCTCTTCTGGCTCTCCGAGAAACCTATTTGCTCTTTTAAGGGGCACACAGAAGATATACTTGACTTGTCATGGTCTCGAAGCCAGGTATTAGTTTTTCATTTTCATTTTTATTTTGTTACTTATTTTTGTAAAAGACAACTAGTTTATCTTTTAACCTGCCGGCATGAATTCATTGACATGAGATGTTCTTCTCTCTTACTGTAGTACATGCATTGCATTAACCGCCTATCTGATTTTATTTATGATTGCTAGGGATATCAAACAGTCAGATTTTAACAGCTGTTGTATGGGCCTGCATGCCAGTTTCTTTTGTCTTCATCCATGGATAATACAGTACGTTTGTGGCACATTTCATATGACGAGTGTTTGCGGATTTTTCCTCATAATGACTTTGGTAAGGTTGCGTCCCATATTTTCAACTTACACTCTATCGTTTGTAAGTAGTGGTCTTCATGTATGTGTCCTTGGGCTGTTTTCCTTATTTCCTGAATACATTTGATACTATTTTTTTAAAAAGTACAAACTACCAAAAATTTTAATTTTGTAATTTTTATATTGAAGAAAGTTTGTACTTGTCGTGGAATTCCGACGTGGATTGGATATTTATATTGTTTGTTCCTTACATTGACCATTTCCAGTTACATTTAGCGGGGTGGTTGTGTATCGGTTTGCAGTTACTTGTGCACAATTTAATCCTCTTGACGATCGCTACTTTCTTAGCGGGTCGCTTGATGACAAAGTGCGGATCTGGAGCATTCCTGATCACCATGTGGTTGACTGGAGTGATCTTCAAGAAATGGTCACAGCTGTATGTTACACTCCGGATGGGAAGGTATTCTAATTATTCTCTTGTTTGTGCACACATCTTCCCCCTCTATTCTGTGTTCAGTTACAACACGTGGGAGATTAACTGATTGTATGGGTGTTTGGGTTGTAGAAAGCGATTGTTGGGTCTTACAAAGGGACCTGCCGCTTCTACAACGCTATAGGTGAGTACTTGCTATCCTAAACTTAAAACTACAATATGTTTATGTAGTTATTATATATAAATGTGCTGTGAAGAATTAAGTGACAACTTACTTCCCGTTTTAGGTATTTTTAAACGATACTGGGCTGTATTATCCAGAAGCCTTATCGGTGGTGTTCCGAACTCAAAGCATATAATGAATATGTTGCAGGAAATAAGTTGCAGCTGCAAGCTCATGTAGATGTACGCGAAGAGTCGAAAAAAGCACGGGGCAAAAAGATCACTGGACTGCATGTATTTATATTTAACTTCATCTCCTTGGATTGTTGCGTCTTCTGTGAGTTGTCAATATGGATAACCATGATTTGTGGGTTAAGTTTTCTCAGTCTACTTTTAAGTCTAATCAAATATTTATGTTAGTACTGTCATTGAATCTTCAACGTGTAAATTTGAAATATAGAATCTTTTTAGTCCAGATTCATTCATATTCAATATGCTCGTTGACATTTGTTTGCATGCAGTGTATGCCCAAGGATCCAAACAAGGTTCTTGTGACGTCAAATGACTCTCGTGTCCGTGTGTATGATGGCCTGGATCTGGTTGCTAAGTACAAAGGTACTTAACATCCGCGTCATTCAATTCCTGCTGAGTTTCATGGGACTAGAGCTTTCGCTTCCACTATCTTCGTCATCTTCTCTGCAGCATCCCTGTTGGAAATCTGTTTTTGAAGCGTTATTCAATGGGCTTCATTCAGTTCAAGGCTGCATTGCCTTTTATGCTGATCCCTTATCGCTTGTACTTTTTAATTTCAGGTTTACGAAATGTAAAGAGTCAAATTTCATCGTCCTTTTCTCCAAATGGAGATTTCATCATCAGTGCCAGCGAAGATTCTCGGGTTCTGGTATGGAGTTCTGCTAATAGAGATATTTCAAACAAATCATCCCTCTACCGAAAAGACAAGCAACTATCGTGTGAGGAGTTCACATCACGCCATGTATCAGTAGCAATAGCTTGGCCGGATTCTTCCGTCCGCTCAGCATGTGATCCTCCCGGTAGGTCAGAGAGGTTTGGCAGTGTACAGGTTGCTAGTGAGCTGGGGTTATCTCCACCAAGGGAAGAGCCTGTGGTGGTTACAACAAAGGGCACGGAAGAAAACTCGAAATGCCCATCGTATTGCTTAGGACGGTCCCCTCTAGGAATTTTTGGATCTGGAAGAAAAAACAGTGTTGCTGTGGCTGACGAACTTACCTCAAAAAAGCAAGTTGAAAGTGGCAGCCTCGGCAACCATGGTCATCAGCTCGATGCATCCCCTGTAGATATTAGCGCTAAGGTGTCGGTACAATCACTTTCATTAGAAGAGAATCCTTCTTACTTGCAGCGGCGTCCAAGCTTCTTCCCCGAGAGAGGATCCACCACGTGGCCTGAAGAAAAGCTTGATTCTTTACGAATGTCCAGGCCGAGTATGATGCAGTCAGCCTCCATTGTTAGCAACATGAGTGACCTCAATGGAGGAGAGGTCACCCCTCCTAGTGATTTGGTCAATGTTTCCGCTGCTTGGGGATTAGTGATCGTTACTGCAGGTTTGGGAGGCGAAATAACAACGTTTCAAAATTATGGCTTCCCTGTACGTCTCTGAATATGAAATTGCGCTTTATTCAGCGTTAAAACTCTGTTTCTAGCATCCAATATGGTTTGTTTGCTGTTGTAATGGGAGGATGGTTGCTACCTTCAGTTTACTGATCGCTGTGTGTTGAATGCGAATCTTCTGGGTGCGTATTTTGATCAATTGCAAAGAACGAGTTCATCTTGTCTGTTCCAAGGCGGGTTTATGTGCAATTTGGATCAAATTGAGCTTTATGAAAGTTAAATCCTCTCTAAGATATTCAACGTGAATAAAAACCAGAAGTAAACATTCTTATGAGCTAGTGATTAACCATCCATCAAACATTTTTTAAGGAAAAGGAATCTAGTCAGGATTACTAACTATATTTATCACTTAACATATATTATCTACTCCAGTGATATTTGCTACGATGCAGAACGATGTCTGTCAATCTGGTCGTATAATCTATCCATGACTGTTGGATGGTGAATGAGGTCTCTATCCACCTTTTATATCACATCTCACTTTTACAAAACGAGTATACCATGGACCTTGACAGGTTAAGACTGTTAGGGGAGCCTTTAAAATAGTACCATCTTTGTCACACATGTAAGAATGCTTTGCCACAGATCCTCTAATGTATTCGAGATATCATATTCTCAGTTGGGTTCTTGGATCGTACGCACTGTATTAGTCATGCTTCTTGGATGCACCGATCTTCAAATTTTTCCATACATAAATGATGCCAAACTTCCAGCATTGAACCATTTGCGACAAGATTGCTTCGCTGAAATTAACCTAGGATATCCAGTAGGAGTCAACTTCACATAAACTTCACCGCCATTCGGTCAACTATGTTCTTGTGTTTTTAAAAATAACTACATAGGATACTTGGTCGCAGCATATATCCTTGAGAAGCGTGTTGATACAATCGAGCAGCTAGTAAACTTGGCAGTCTTATTTCCTACATTTCGTTTCAGATATGATCAATCGCTGCAACAACTAGCTCCTGATGCCCTAATTCTACTTCAATTATTAAAATTATTTGTATAGCCGCTTTTGAATGAGATTCGACAGCTTTGCAATCAGACCTCAAAAATGAAGTTAGGGATTACAAATCCAAATAATTTTAATGCATGCACAAGGCGGTTTGCAACAAAATTTAAGCTCTGGAAAAACTCTGGATTAACACACCATTTATGAGCCAAATGGCAGCCAGTGCGTCTTCTGAAAGAACGGACACTTCAATTGACGTCCAAAACAATACATTCAGATAAAGTCATGTCCAGTTTGATGAGTGCCTTCATGGACGAACTGGCCATTATCTCAGGCTAGTTGCGCACCATGAACCTAACGCCCAGCTTCATATAACCGCCTGCACTGTGCGCCACACAAATGCCACACGCGGATCCTCAAATGAATGTAAACCCTTCCACTGAGCGTGCACTAGGCACGCACAACCTATTTAATAGTTCCAACTGTATGCACACTAGATATGCATAAATACTCCTTACCCAATGTCCTCAGAAGCTCTTCAATACGGACGAATAACTGGCCAAAAAAGAAAAATAACTAGTAAGAAAAAATGCACTTCCACAACAGCGAGGGGAATGTATGAATCAACAGATGAGTCCTCGACAAGTTTGATAGGGACTTTAGTTGGCTTCATGTGTTTGGCGCATTTTTTGTTAGCAACCCAATGGCAAAACTGCTAACTGACCCACAATGAGTTTGGGAGTTTGGGATGCATTTGTCCAGCAGCCCAAAGGGCATTTCACATTCGGCACAAAGGTCCGCCAGTGCCATGGCTGGAGTGCGCTTTACAAATGCTTAGAATACTCATAGATCGCGATGCTCCACCTTTGCCTCAATATGATCGAATCAAACGACCACGTCGATCAGCACCCACAAGAGATGGTATTCTAAAGATGGACCTCGGAGGGAGCCTCCCTGCAGTCACACATCTGCAAATAATTATGCATAATTATGATCAGGGTTGCATTGAAATTGTTAATTGAAGCTTGATTTCTCGAAGGTTTCCTCCCTTTCCAAGTATGATCCGCTGTGATATTCATAATACCTCCGTCATACAGAACCAGCGAATTATAAATCTACTGAAGGCAATCACACTGAAGCTACTGCAGCAAATTGTCACATGGAAAGGCGTTGTCAATTCCCACTAGACCTGATTTCATCAATCTCCACATAAAGCCTCAAACCAGGCCGGCTTTAGGAGTTTCCGAATCTATCAAGTACTTGACATGCATCGAAAACTCGGCCGGACAATCACTTAAGAAAATGGCCACCTTGCAACAAGGAACTATTTCAAGCCGCAGATGCAGAATGCTTCAAACATAACTGTTGGCTGCGTGGCGAAGAGAAATGGGATGGATACCTTTCGGTGAATAGTCTCTAGCACACGACCGAAGAGGCGTTCGGAAATTGATTATTTTTCGTCCATGAGACCTGTCCCCTTGTCCGCATTGGCCCATCAAAGTGGACCTTATTGATTGACTTCGGCAACAGTATGTCACGGTCTGGATCATCCTTGCACACGACGGTGGCCGTTGCGAGTCGAATTAATTCACCAGCAACACCAAGAAGGGACCAACATCTGCGAATCTAATAACCACAGGAGACAAAGACGTCACTTCTGTAAAAGACTAAATCCCTTCTAAGCTCATAACTATGCTATACTGATGATACTCATTCAGCTTTCTAATAGTTACCCACTACCTCATGCGATCATCCTCTCAACTAGTGAAAGCTTTTGCTTAAAAAATACAATACTACTTGGCGAAATCTGCAACCCACATATTCCATTTCTCCAAAAAAGTTCACAGAAAATCAGCCGTACTCATTCATGTGCTCAAGGCATAGAGGGATAAAAAGAAGAATAAGAAAGAACAGGGACATATTACAAGACAGTGAATCGCATTGATGTCCACTCTCAGGGAGAAAAAGAATGATATCCCATCCAGACCTACATGCTGGCAACGAAAATCACAGCATGCTCAACCCTAACCAATAAATGAACCAACTTCCTGCGTTGGTCTTCACCGGAATCTAATTCAATTCACAAAACTAATTTACAAGCTTCAGGGCTACAGCCGTAGCGCACGTCTTAACGCAACTGTAATGTACTGACACCCACTACCTTCATGCAGTTATTGTTGGACGTTGGTCGATGAGCGGGAGCGCTATCAGCATTGCGACGGCTCTACCATCTTCTAGCCATCACCTGTCACCCGCTCTTCAGCATGAAAACGAAAGTGTAACCCTGTAAGACTACGTCTGACCTGCATGATATCCAATCCCAGGGCAAAGCCTCAAAAGCAGCTGCCACAGAAGTTGCGAATTTCCTTGGCCGATCATCCATCTTGGCGACGAGAAGCTCGTCAAGTCACATTGAAGTCTTTCTCAAGCATCGGTCGCGTCCGTGTCTGTGTCGCCACTGGAGCCCTTGAGTTTCTGACCACAGTCGACTGAAGCGTTTCCCCTTTCTCAGCTTGCACTTGCATCTTTGAGATTTTACGTTTCTGAAGCTGCCGCCGACAGCAAAAGATGAGTAAAGAAGAAAGTACAATAACACCCAATACTCCTAGGACAGTTCCAAGTATAATCTTCCATGTGTTAGATTTCTTCCTGGGAGGAGCTAATCCCACCAACGCGAAGTAGTTTTCGCCGAGATTTCTCGAGAAGCACGCGTAGGTCAGAGAGGTTCCATTAGTCGCGCTGACATTTGTCGCGCTCGCATTGGTCGCTAGAGCTGTTCCATCGGCATCAAACTCAACGCAGTAAGAGGGTCGGGCGTTGGGCGGTATGATCACCTGCATGGGGGTCTCGGATACAGCAGTCAGAGCAGGCAAAGGAGTCGTCGGCCCCAACAAATCGGCATTGTACACCCTGATCCCAACCAAAGAGCTCACGAAAACCTGCCCCGGTACCGACGAAGAATACACAGAAACATTGCCGAAATCCCTGTACACCAAAATCACCCTCAAAGAGGAGACGTTAGAGATTCGTAAGCCCGGCGGTATCGTAAACCTTCCAAGCGTGACGCCATACCTCCGCAAACTGCCCACGCGCAGTCGAACAGCCTCCACAGTGACATTCGCTAAGTCCCCTGGCAGGACTGTGGAGAAAGGGATTCCCGTGAGCGGACTCATCCTCGCAAATGTGGAGAAAGCCGCGAGCTGAATGGTCTGGTCGTACGAGCTTAGGTTACCAGACGCTACTGCCGGAAAGGTCTGATTTGCGTACTGTCCCACTACTTCAGCTCCCACTCCCGATCTCAATGCCAAGACAATCATCACCACGACCACCCAAAAATACGACATTTCCTCCATTGGCGACAACCATCCTGTTCTCCTCTCCATAGCCCCTCTATCCTTCAGCATTTCACGACGCTCCTTCTCTCCCCTCTCCCACAATCTCACATTCCCGACGAAACAATACATGGAAGGAACCATCACCAACATACCCTACAAGAGCCAATACTCAATGCTGAACATATCTACACGGACTGTCCAGACGAAGCTGCTATCCAGCACGGGCAAGACGCTTGCCTGTGGTAGTGATCCCGAGTACTTCGAGTCCGCACCAAACGGCTAGCACATCAAACCTCGAGCAACTGTTACAAGCCGGATCTACTACTGGGGCAAACTTCGAATGCCAAAAAAAAGTCAGAGGAGCGGGGGCAGTGGCGCTGGAATCGAGACAGCATTCTTCATTGAGACTCACAGCGTCGGCCAAACTGCCGCTCGGCGCTGTCATTCCTGTTCTGGCATCGCCCGGTTGGTGCATGTCCTCCAGTGTTGTCATCACTTAGTCCGACACCATTTTAGTCCGACGTCTACTCTGTGGTTTGCAGACAGGTCTGAAAGGTTTCTCAGTTTATCAATAAATTATGCTCAGTATAAGATCCAAATTCTTAACCTTACAGCTATTTCTGTATGAAAAACTGACGAAACTCACAACCCCGTCTGGGACGACATAATGAAACTACAGCTGGCAGTCAATCCAAACGCATCCAACTGGAATCTGATGAAATTCAGTCAATACTCATGGCAATGCCAGCTACACCAAGAACCCCATGTGATAGGCATTGAAAAAGGGAAAACGCACAGGTAGTACGAAATCGGTAGCGCCGAATGTTGTAAGTCACTAATTCAAAACTGGAACCTTGAGGAGGAAGAGGAAGCAAATTTCCTGTAATTGATAACATGCGAGGCAGCAATCGGGGTGGGCTATTGGTAGATCAAGGAAAGCGAAGGATGTCGGCTGATTCCTCCTACAATCTCCTCTCTTGCCAGGTGAGAAGGACGAGACTGACAACTCTTTTTCCCGTTGGTTGCTCTGACAACACTAGAATTAGAACCTATCTGAGAAAGCCACGTTGCAGATGGCAATTGTAGAACACTGTTGGCCACCGTAACAAAGTTTTTATGTGCACTCTTAAGCTTGGGAAAGAGTCGCCATGACCACTGCATAGAGTGAAGTGGGTAGCTTGAAAAACGAAGTCATTGAAAAGAGATCCCTCGTACAAGTCATTAGACGAAAGCAACTTTTTTAATATTATAATGATGTAGAAAAACATCCAGTGGATCACATGGGAATTAACGATTAGCCTATAGTTTAGGAAGAGAGCATGCAATGAAATTGTGACGCTTAGCCGTTCTCAGCTTTGTCGTAAGCATTGGATTTGTGTTTAGGGGCAAACGCAAACCCAGGTGGAGGTGGACCTAACACCATTTCTGTCAATCGGACCTGCCAAGAATTCCGAGTTATCCACTAATTAGATGTGGTAGGAAACTTCCTTGACAGAACTTATTTCATAGGTTGTAATAAGGACTGCTCTTGCCCATTCACATGGAGTCATGCGTCCTATCAGAAAACCAACTCTTACAAATAAACGATTAGGGAGTTCAAACACAATCAACAGATTTTCAAAGAAAGCAAAACTCACCCAGTCAGCTGCACTATCTGATGCCATCAGTGTTTCTAGGTCATTGCGTCCAAAGTAGTTCGGTGGACGCCAATTTAGCTTTTGTGGGATAACATCCAGAAGACCAACAGGGATGTAGCGATGTGCATAACTTAACCATTCCAGGAGAAAATGTCGTGTTGTCTCCACACCTAATAATCCAACCCAAGTAAATTAAATTCTTCAACAGGTTTTCAGATGGTCATAATGTCCAGTACTCAAAAAATGCAAATATGGTGGACAGTCCACGATCAAGTCATACGTGTTGTCAAGATGAAAACTGACGTGAACAGAGAATTTATACAAACATTTCGCCACTGTATAAGTATACCTAATACTACCAAGAACCACATTGGCGCAGTAAGATTTCGCAACTTCATATGTTATTTGACAGATATTGGATATTGTTAACACAAATACAACAAACGTGACCAACTGAGCAAGAATAGATTGTACCTTTACTATCAGAACCCCAGTGTATCAGGCCAAATTTCACATAATCACGCAATATGTTAAGCCTTTCTTCAGCAGTGATATCCCAGTGCCGTTGCTCCTTGATTTCGGTAAATAACCACGGCTGCAACAACCAGAGAACTTCATGATATTTCTATACACAACTACCAGCATCCAAGTATAAGTGGTTTGCTCAGTTTTATAACTAAGCCAATTAATCGATCATGCACTGCCCAAAATCGCTTGAATTTACATTGGTATCAGATTCAAAGCATCTAGTGAAGATATTTACATCCAAGCTCCACTTGTATCAGAAATGCAGTAGTCACCTACCTTTATCAAAGCTCCGCGAGCAATCATACATGTTGCGAGCTTGCCTCCTGAACTTTCAAGGTGCCCGTTGTAATCAGTGTAAGAGAAAACATCTCCATTCCCAATAAGTTGGACGTCACTTGGACCGTTGGTTACACACTGATTAATGTAGTCCCAGTCTGCTAGTTTACTGTAGCGCTGTTGACGTGTCCTACCATGAATAGTGACAGCTGTTGCTCCCCAAGATCCGAGATCAGGAAGCAAAGAGTGCGCACAATTTCGACCTTCAAAGAAGCCCATTCGCAACTGTAGCATAAGCGTGTTCCAAGATGAATGCATAGAATGAACTCAATAAGTAGTCATAGGAAAAAGCCATGATAGGGACTGCGAAGAGCATGTCAGTGCACTTTAAGGACACAGGATTTAGCAACCACTTTTGTAATTACAGAATTGGGGTCTCAACACACTAGAAAATCCCATCACACAATCCTCAAATAATCTTAAGCGGAATGCGAACTTTTCCGAACCTTCACACTAATCATCTTAACAAGGACGCAGCAATGAAGCGGCTTGGAAAAGGACAGATAAATTATAAAACTGTATCATCTAGAAGGCAAGTACTTGCATCATGAAAATTAGAAAGAAGTCTTACTTTGACCGTAAGAGGGGTGTTAATTGATCCGGATGCTGCTCTCACAATTTCTTGCAGCCGTTGAGGCTTGGTCAGCAGAGAAGAGCCCCCACCCTTGTTCACCACCACGTCTATAGGGCATCCTACGTTCAGATCAATGAAATCAACAGTGCACTCTCGTTCTATCAACTCAGCTGCCCGAGCTACAGTATCAGCGTATGATCCACATATCTGAACTCCAAAAATATCTTCCTCCTCATGCCGCCTCAACAAAGCCCACTCTGAAGCTTGCCCCTGACTTTCACGAGTTCGCAAACGAAGGAGTATTAATAACAGAAAATTGACGAAGGCTGAAAGTTGAATATGAAGTTCACTAACAGAAATGGCACATACTTTGGCATATCTTCCAGAAATCAAGATATCCTAATCCACTACACTAATTCCAAACAACAAACATGGCAGGATATGGCAAAATGTTCAAAGGCGTGAACTGAAAATGAGAAGCAAGAAGAGAGGTATAGAGTGAAAGTGGACAAAACCAGTATTTTGCAACTGTGGGCAACTATCAACAGAACAACAAACCTGAAGTAAATTAGTGCACATGGCCATTTCTCCACATGTGATGTCAGCACCCAATTTCTTGCAAACTCGTCTAAATGGTAGATTACCCACGGTGGTTAGAGGAGCCAAATAGAGCTTTCCTCGGAAATCAACGAGTTTCTTATCTCGTAGCGGTTCTTTCACCTCATCATTGAGGTACTTCATATCGTCGTCGTCTACTCTACTGTTGCTTCGCCCACTTGTAGCCTCCAATACATTATCCGAAGCTTGCTGCAAAGCCTCATCTGCTGCTTCAATTACAATCGTTCGGACTTTCTTACGAGGAGGGTATTCTTTGTTTATTAGAGAGGTATCTGATGATAAGGGTCCGTCAGGCCCATCAGTTCTTACTTCGCCATCCCCAGGGAGTCCAGCAGAACCATTAGTAGTTTCCGACGCTGCGATTATTTCCGCTTCTTCTGGAGAGACTTCAACAATATTACTGCTTTCAAATTTCACTTTTGCTGCAGTGTCGTCATAAACCAATACTGGTTTTGCCTCATCTCCTTTACAAACAACAGACGGCTTTGCAACCAACTTCCGAGCCTTTCCCTGCAGATTTTAACCCACATCCTCGAAATTTACATGATTCGCCATGAGAGGGATACCATTTACTACATAAAATAAGAGTATTCACAAAGTTGACCGCTAATTACGTGAGGAACTCGAATAGAAGAAGGTTGACTTCTAAAAACCACTTCAACAAAACTAAGTTCTGCAAAAAATACACTATAAGAGAATCCTCTGGTAAAATATTGGAGGAAATATCATTCTGAAGATGCATAGTGTGTAGGTCGGCCGATATCAAACTAACGCGGCATAAAGTGGGGTTGAAACATCATGACTATGTAACTGGAATTCTCGAGTGACCCAATCGTGCAGCACAATCCGGCTACAATACCGCTGCTACATTTACGAGTTCAATTTCATAAAGAGAGTCACGGCATATACTATGACCGGAAATAGTTGAAAACCTAAGGCCCCTTAACAGCCCATAACATTCATTGAGGACCTCAAAAAAATGGTTGAGACCATGAATTAACCCCGAATTCGTGTTCTGAGTAAAGCAACAACTTCAGTTCAACATCATATGCAAGTAAAATTAACACATCTTCCATATAAAGATTATGGAGTTAATGAAGTCTGTGAAAGCATACCAGAAGCCCCAGTGCTTGTAATTGGGCGTCAGCTTTTGGAAAGGTCACCGCATTTTTCCATAGCAATTTCTGAAAACTTTTATTCAAACTATTGAGCTCCCGGATACTGGACATTGGATTTTTACCATCATAATTTCCATCCTTCAAAACTTCTGCTACTTCGGTCCCCTTTACTTCAGGGTGAGAACCAGAAAAACGGCATGCAAATCCGTAGGGACAAGAAGAAGTCACATCCAAGAGAGGGCACAATCCCTCCAGATCTTTGGGTTTCTGAAATCAAATAACAAGCGGCGTGAATGAAATACAGTGCATGCACATCATCATAGGAGAAAGGAGAAGGGAGCAAAAAAAGAAAAAAGAAAAAACTGCGCCATACTTCATCCTGCTTGAATTCATCCCAATCTTCAATTTTCTCAAGAAATTGACAATTTGTGAAGGTTAACAATTTTCACAGCAAGGACAGATAAAGTAGGAAAAGCTAAAATGGTTATTCTCTTATAAACTGATAAATCGCACAATGAGAACTAAAATAGAACTGCGAAATGCAGAAAAAGGACATTTGAATCTGGACCCTAATAACCAAAATGTTGCCTAACCAAGCATTTTACGATCAGTAGAACATAAAGCAACAACTGCAGCGTTCTAGTTAGCAATCTTGGAGTATTAACTTACTTGTTCCATAAATGCCGCCAGGTCGTGATTAAAGCGACACGAGTCACCAAATTGACATGCATTTGCGTCACCAGTTTTCGCTACCGCCCCACAAATATTTTCTGCCGAAGTTATAGCCTGGGTTTCAAAACCCCAACCATTGGCATTCAGAAGATCATGCGTACAACATGAATTGACGATTTACATCACGATTACCACCAGCATACCCTAAATTCTGTTCTGCAGGAACGCAACTTCCTACATGCAGCTCAAGCATTGACCTATTAAGATAAGAATCCAAACCTCCTTCCGTTCTCGTTTTCGTTGGCGTCTAGACTTCTTGTCGACTGAAGCTTTTGCAGTGAAAGGTTTACTAGCCTCTACAGCATTGGCGGTTCCTTCCTCAGGTGAGTTGGTAACAGCTTCCTTAGTTATGACTATTGACTTGGCCATGACACGAGGTGCAATGTTCAAAACAACATATTCCCGTTTGACAGGTGCCCGCGATTTGGCTATGAGCTCCTCAGCTGACGGGTAGTTTTCTTTGCTTAGTGCTTGAGCTGAACAGAAGCAGCAATAACCACTTTATCAATCATAAAAACTTATTTCACGAAGACAACCATCATATGTAAGACAACAGATGAGAGCCCCAACATAATGGCGGGAAACCTAGAGCGCTAAGCCAAAGCTCACCTCATGAATCAGAAAACGAGAAAAGAAAATTGTATCTACTAAAACAGTGAAAGAGAAATCCAGCAGAACACTTCAAACCACTTGGTGTATGTCACATACAACATACAATTTTAAGAGAATGAGAGCAAAGTCAACAGATACCACCAACGCAATTTTAGCAGACGTACAACTCAATGCCGCTTCGAACAGCAAAATGAAAAGGCGAAAAGTTCCAAAACCCCATGTAGCGAGAAAACCTACCACCGTCAGCGCCGTCAGTAGAACCCCCGCCTAAACCCTCCTCCGCTGTCACCGACGAAGGCAATTCAGCAGCAACAGCCACCTTAAGCACTTCGTCAGCCATTTGAGAAGCAGTTTCTACGTCAGATTTTCCCACGCCTGCAGAGAGGTCATTCCCAACCTCCATCACTGCGAAGCGCTTAAACCTTGAAACACAAACCCGCAAACCCCACAACGACAAAGGAGCATATTCTTCGAGACAAAATCTTTAACGAAGTTGAAACTGTATACAGCAACGCGCTCACAGGCCCCACCGCTACGCAAGGTCGGGATCCCTTGACCGGGAGATGAATGAGGGCCCCGCTCTAGCTCTCATCATCCATTACAGTAACTGATTCCGCTGTAATTCTCTTCATGTGATCGTCAACCACTGCATCCACGAGTGGGGAAATGGTGTAGTGAAGTATTTTGAGCTCGTGAGCTAGAAATATAATCATGTTTCGATATGCGTCGTTTCCAGTTTGAGTTGGAGCACCGCCACTTCGTCACTTTCTGGTACCATGCGGATCACTTCCTAGGCCAGGAGTGTCCTTGCAATCATGGTTGCATCCGCATATTTACCTCCTCCATTCTGCCAAGATGGATTGGTTTCTCTCTAAATGCACCGTGCTCTCTGCAAATCGGAGGGTAGTTCATAGCGATGTTAAGTTCTGGCAAATTGTTACTTCAATGTTCATGACCGTAAAACCCTCAAGTGTTTTCCTGGAGTTGCACATAGTCAAGTTGCGGAGTAATCCGGGATGATGTAAATAGATTCACAAGACGTGATGTCACCGTCGAGTTCACAGCAATGGCATTCCAAAGTATCTCGAAAGTGCTGTAGTTTTGAGAGAAAATTTCGAACAGCAGGATTCGGATAGTTGCCCTCTGTGGACCAGAGAGTGGACTTTTACAACCACAGAATAATGTATGAGCAATTCAACGCACGGTTAAGTACATTTTGGTGAATAAAATTTACAAATGATACATTAGAGAACAATTTGGGTTTTGAACTAATGCATGGGCTTGGGACCTGCACAAGGAATTCTGTGATTTGTTTCGCATCAAAGCCTTGATTCGTAGTAAAAAGTGACTCTACATAATATTATCAAAATGCGATACTAGGCGATTCAGTTTAAACAAAATCGTTGACATAGCCAAATCATCGATCACAAAAACAGCTCAAGTAGACACCAGTCACTGATCGAAGATGGAAGTGGTACAGCTCTTTACACAGTACAACTTACAACCAAAGAACATGCATTTAAAGCCACTTATATTATCCCATGCAGAAGGATAGCCAGATGACCCATTCGTCTTTTACACTTCGCTGAGGGGAATAATGGTAATCATGTGGGACCTTTTAAGAGCTTAAAGATTGAGTTATGCATCTTACATATAAAAACCTCATCCTAACTGTTGAAACACAACAAGAACCCTACCTGGTAACTTTCAACAGTCACCTAAAAATTATATCATATGTGAACTACCATGACATCACACTTCTTGTGAATTCATTTCCATCTGCATCTGCTTGCATCCTGCTATACATAAAACTTCAATCATGCAATAAATGCCAGCAATAATGTCCAGGTCTGGCTTCTTATAAACAGCTGGCATCATTAAACTGATATCACTAGCTCTAAGCAATATAGTGCACACACCCACTGAAGCAAGAATTCACGGACCCTGAATCGTTCAATTGAAATAACCTGGGCCTATAGCAAAATAAATCAATCGTACGCTCGATTCACAGGCTGATCAGATTAATGATGTATATATCAAAAAAGGTTGATGTTCTAATCATCTGGTTTGATTTGGTTTCCAAAGAAGCACTTTCTACATAAGCAGAATGTTACCAATTTAGAGAAAAATATAAAATTTGACAGACAGCATTCTCTGAGCACTTTTGAGGAATAAATTACCTGTCAAAAATTGAAAATATTTTTACTTGAACATTCGGGCATAGAACTTCTTCTCTCTCTCATTCCGCTCTTTGATCTGAAATCATCAGCCAGCATTAGCAAGGACAACAAAAGACTCACATTCCAGATATACACAAATATCTTTACGCATTAGGATGAAATTTCTATGTACCAGAGTCATCCAGAAAACTTATATAAATTACATTTTTCCGAACAGCTGCAAGCTCCTTCTTAATTCCAGCTGTACAGATAAGTAGCATAAACAATCAGCAAATATCATAAAAGATTGATCACACACGTACATTCTTAGTGACAAAACCCTCGAATCACCACAGTGCAGACAACTTCAAGCTCACTCCCCAGTATGACATATCCTACACCACGACAAAGAATTCACAAACCTCAAAACCTGCAGGAACATCATGATATGAAATACATGCGAGACCAGTGATACAACAAACTGAGTCGTCCAATCCCATTTAATACATTATTAATGCAGTTCAAATTTTTAGAAAAATACTTGATTGACATAACATATCCAGACATAAGTCAATGTCAGAAACTTTAGTTCATGATGAAAATGAGGCATTAAAACCTAGAAGTTCCTCACCGTCATTCGGTTCAATATTTGAGGCTTTAGTTAAGCTCATCAATGCTGAATCGATGTCACCCATCGCTAAAAGAGCCTGCATCATAGAGAAAACAACTTTTTCCTTCATGCTTTGAACACAAGCCAACCAAAAGATACCTCAACTCAAGATTTTTGTAAGAATATAGTACGCGAGGGTCCATGCCCATCTAGAGACTCATACAAGAAGCTTGCAATTATGCTTCAACATACAGAGACTTAACCTGGCCACGACGGAAAAGAGCTTTCACATTATCAACTCCAGTTTGCATAGCGTATTCACAGTCGGTCAATGCACCCTGAGGATTTTGAAGGTCAACTTGCAGGCCTGTCACCAACAATTTCATCATGAAGTCTGGTTGTAAAACATGTGTACGTATGTGAAAACTCTATTTTGAAATTGGTTACACAAACATAAATGTTATTTCAAGTATATCCTATCTGAAATATTTAAAATATATTGCGAAAGTAATCTATTATCTAAGATGAGAAGGGTTGAAAACTATACTTACAGCACTATTCGTTAATACAAGAGACTTCATCTTGCGCAACAAAATGCTTCTTGCTGTAAACCACCGTTAGACAGTAATGTGTCAATCACCAGGTTAAAATCATGCCATCTGCTCAAAAGAGGAATTCTCAATACAAAAGTTTAAAATGCCATCTCTGGAGAATACACCTTGGCAACTTACTTTCATCAAGCTCTTCTTTCTCCCAGCATACATCCAGGTACCGTAGAGCCTTCCGATACATTCTTAGTGCGGTCTTGTAATCTCCTTTCTAGTTCAAAAATTCAAGCAAATATTACGAACGGTTCCATAACCTCCAAAAAACTCTTTACCAGCAACAATCATGATCAAGAGATAGGATAGAAGATGATATTTTACGAAAGGATAAAATGCGCATTAGGCGGTCTCGTTTCAGGTTGATGAATCTAATGAGCACCTTAAAAAATTCATTTCCAAAGACGCGGGCAGAATCAACTGCTGCCTCCCTCCAAGCTGCATCAACTGGCTGAACGTCTAAGTCTGACGGCCAATCCGGATAAGTATCTCCATCTTGTGTGAATCCTAGAAAATTCATCATCCGTCACTCTAACAACGTCAGTAACTTTCTACAGGGCATGCTGTTATTTTCAACTTTGAAACAAGAAATAGGAGTCTACCATGTACTAGAGATACAAGTTTAGACAGCAAGCCACAGCGACCTAGAAAAGAGTCCATAAAAAGAGGAAAGAATTGAGGACGGAAATGTATCCAAAGCTCGTACCACGACGCCATCGTCTGCGCCTTCCGGCAGCTCACCACAGTCCACGATGCGCAACTCATTCAAGGGTAAGTCAGTTGAACTGTCGGTTGGCTGGTGCTCAAGGGAGCGCACGATCCCCATGCCCTTCAAAACCTTGCCAAACAAAACATGCTTTCCGTCGAGGTGGGGTGTTCGATTAGTAACAATGAAAAACTGGAATCCATTCGTATTTGGACCAGCATTCGCCATATACAGCATGCCCTTCCGCTCATGCTTCATTTGAAAGTTCTTGTCGTCAAAACTCTTTCCATAGATAGACTCACCACCAGTTCCGTTCGCATTCTCAAAGTCTCCACCTTGGATTATGAATTCTTTTATCACCCTGTGGAAAATGCTTCTCTGTTCAATAGAGGACATCCAAGATTTATGCAGAATGATAATCTGGTCAGTCAGCAGGAATAAGCAGTCGGGCGGTGCATCCACAATGGATCACTCGATACAAGGCATGCAATGAATAGAAAACTGTAATTATACAAGTCCGCGCGTTCCAATCGTGTTAACCACACGCAAGCTACCAAGGTTTTTCCTAATAACATTAAATTCTACGCACAATTCTCCGAAATACGTTCTTACAAAGATCACGCTTTCAAGGCGCCATCACTTGATGATAGATTCCTACAAATGCGACATTTCAACAAATATGAATTCATGCCACCCTCGTTATGATAAAAACCCACTTTGCCTTGCGACAAAGCGCAGCTGTCAAGTACAAAGAAGTGGCTAAAGACTACTGTGTCTGCATAGATCAGTAATATGAACTCGATCGCTTTCCTGAGACTGAGCCAAATGCACAACTGAAGTAGTCCACCTGAAGGAAGACAAGCGCTTTTCCTTATACTTATAGAGTGAGTTTATGGCGAGAATCTGACGAGGAAGAGCAACCTACAGCGGTGATCACTTCCATTATGCTGCGGCTACGCAAGCAGATCTTTCTAGTAAACTCAATTCTTGCGTTTCAATCATCTATCAACCACATCCAATCTGACCTACCAAGACCCTTTCACAATATTTCGTGTGTATCAAAGGCCCCTCATCACACAAAGTTCCCGACACTAAACCCGAAATGTAACTAGAATCTAGTGAGCATTGTGACGTGTGGCGACCTACGAAACTGACGACATGGGATCCGTGCATGTCATGAATGAAAGAAGAACTGAATTATTAACATACTTTGTAATAGAAAGGGCGTCTAGAGACTGGCCCAATGCCTTTCTCCCCCGTGGAAATTCTCGGCCGTCCTCGGGGCAACATCTGCGAAAAGTTCGAAAACGATCCGCCCTTCCAAGTCGCCCCCTATACTGATGTCAAAGAACACCTTCGGGTTCTTGAACCCGGCGGATGTTGGGTCAGCACTCATGCT